TCCAGAGAAATCATCGATCGTCGTCACGCCAAGATCGTTCGAAAATAATTATCACCCGGATGGAAGGAAAGCAGCGTCTCCGAGAGAGGAAAATGAAAACGAAGGGCGGCCCAAGAATTCGAAACCGAAACAATTTCTCGCAATCTCAACGATCTGTATGCATAAAATGCAAATTCTTCTTGTCACGGTTGCGACCATCCTCGATATCGATGCTAATAGCGAAACGAATGTTATCGTTAATGTTATCGCGAAACCAATGTTCGATTATGCGCAAGAAAAAACCCTGATCGATCGCTCGTTTCGGTTCCGATATCGGCCGCGGTTCTCCGAGGAATATACAGTAATGTCTCCCTTACTGACGCTCGGATTGTCCACTAAAATGGACAATTTGGGAAGAGCAGATACGATTGTTCGAGCGTTGCAACTCGTTTTTATAGTTGTTGACAATCGACAGCCATAAAAAACGAGCCACAAGGATCGAACAATCGTATCTCCTTTTCCAAAATTGTCCATTTTTCTGCGCAATCTGAGCGTCAATTAGAGAAACATTACCGTATTCCTAAACGTTTATAAACTCGTTATCCCTTTCTTCTAAAATTGTGCCAAATAATGCCACTATGCCAAATACATTCGTTCTCGCAAAAGGAATAAAATAATTTCGCCAGTTTTCGGTGGCAAATATTTCACTGTGCGACGCGTAGCAGAGATCGTAACTTCGACTTCGAGCCTCTCCTCCCTTCGGGAGCTAAAACGGGGCCCTATCACTGTCCCGCCCGTCGAAACTCGAAACTGGTTTCAGCCTTATCTTTGCAAGCGCGTCGAATCTCTGCTCCGGCATCGATGGTGTAAGCACGGGCTAAAGTTGCGCCGGTAACTTAGATGACGAGCGAACAAATTTTCTGCCCGCGACAGTCGCCGAGGTCGGCCGCCCCGGCGTGCAACATTGTGTCGAGGCCCACGGTTTGCGGATCGTCGCGGTGCGCCGCGTCGAATATCGATTATCGGCCTCTTGTTCGCCGGCAGTGATACGAGCAACCGGAGCCAGGGACCCGCGTTATTCGCGTGCTACCGCTCACCTGTATTCCACGTTCGATGGATTGGCCTCGGCACGACATTTGAACCGGAGCTCGGTTCCCTCGATGATGCGGCCATTCTTGTCCAGGCCAGACCGGATTCTCAGAGACACTTTCGGCGCGTAGCGAACCTGAAAACCGAGATACGGCCGTTTGATAGAGCGCTACACGGGATGCTCGAAACGTCACGCGAGCCGATGCTCAAACTTTCACGAGCATCGTCGCGTTGTGACACGATCGATCCCTTGGAACAAGGCGGCTGCCTCGCGTGACTACAGGAGTGCCTCGCGTACTTTATTCTACGTCGTACGTTAATTCCTCGGCAATTAATATCGGCCAGTGACAAGCGGTTAAACGATGCTCCTAAGAACGAACTGCGGCAGGACGCATCGGCTTTGCCCGCTGAACCCCGACGCGTGCTACCCTAAAACGCGATTCTAGCCGAGCCAAATCGTTTTCGTCCTTATATTTCACTCTGCTTGAATGTACGTACACGTGTATTGCACGTGTATGTATATGTTTTATGCATGTATTATAATTGTATAGTTATATGTTTGCGCGTATTGAATACACACGAGTTTAGAGTAATGTCTCCCTTATTGACACCGAGATTGCGCGGAAAAATGGACAATTTGGGGAGAGGAGATACGATTATTCGAGCCTTGCGGTTTATTTTTATAGTTATAAATTGTCTCGAATAAGAGACAAGGTTCGAATAATCGTATCTCCTCTTCCCAAATTATCATCCATTTTAGTGGACAATCTGAGCGTCAGTAAGGGAGACATTACTGTACTGTCTCTTATAAAATACAGTGTAGACATAATTAGTCACTTCTTGAACAGTCAACTTTTACGAAACTAGATATTTATATAAATATATATTTATTTTATAAGTATTATTATCTTAATATATATATATATATATATATGTATATATCATAGTATCAGAAATCGAATTATTACAATGCTTCCTCATGCTTTACACTAACGGAATAGTAATATAACATATATAATATTATATAATCTTATATATATAATAGTAATATTTTCTTGCCGGTCCGATTGGTCAAGTGATATTAGATAATTTGAATAGAGAAGTTTATGAAAAAATGTCTCATATAGAAATACGTTTGTAAGTTCGGTAACTGTAAAGTAAGTACAGTAATGTCTCTCTAATTGACGCTCAGTTTGTGCACGATATTGGACAATTTGGGAAGAGGAGATACGATTATTCGAGCTTTAAATCTCGTTTTTATAGTTGTTCATAATTCGTATGCGTAAAACGAGGCGCAATACTCAATTTAATCGTATCTCCTCTTCCCAAATTGTCCATTTTGTGCGCAATCTAAGCGTCAATAAGGGAGACATTACTGTAAATTGGTAGTTCTAATGTTGACGCCTTATGAAAATGGAAGACTCGGATAAATGCTGATAATGACCAGGAGGTATGCTCGCATGACAGTCGCTTAATATTACATTCTTAGCTAATTGGCAAAGTTTCGTTTCCTAGGGGTGGACACCCTTCGTAGGAGCGGTTTCAAAAGTATGCTTCCGCGACGATCGTCGAGACATCGATTTTGATCGTGCTTTTCGGGGCAAAGCTAGAGTTAAATTAATCCGACCCATATATTGCTGTTTTCGTCAATACTCGTTACTTACAGCGACATTTTATATTCAATATTCATGGTTACCAGAAATACTGGATTAATCGAAACGTATTGCAATAGCTATGGCAACCAACGTGACAAACTGATACGTTCTTAAATCTCTGGCATCGATGGTTCAGAATTTCGAAAGATCAATGTCTCTTTTTTATTTGTTTTCTTCTAATAGATTCCTTTATTTTTAATTTTATGATATTGGCTAAATTTTCTTCTTTTTCTTTTTGTAATCTTTTTCCTTATTTTAGTTTATATTGGAAGCATGATACGCGTCGTAAAAAAACAATTGAAACTAATAAATAAATTGTTAATTTCGCGAGATTTTAACTATCGATAATGTGTTTTAAAAATCGATCACCGTGTCACAATTAAATATCAAGTTTCCAATTGCATTTATGACAATTTTGTAGATACAAATGCAGAAATATTAAGCGAACCTATTACATTTATCTCGCACATAATATCGATACCATAAAACATCGTTATATTTTTATATTATTAATACAATATCATATCGTTGTATTATTTAAATAATTATGTGTCTCGCTGAAGGAACATTGCAACGAACTGTCCACCGATAACAAAAGACGAAAACGTTACGTAAAAACACGTTGTTGTATCACGAAAATATGAGATCAATCCGTCATTATTTCGGCCACCGCGTGTTGGACCGGGCGGAATAAAGGCGGCACGTTTTCGGATAAAAAACGTAAATTGCGGCAATGGTCGAAAGTAGCTCTCCGTTGTAAGACGATTACGCCGCGGACCAGTTTTCGGAACACCCCATTAATTATTCTTCTGGCCATTACCGTGACTCCGGCCGGTTTCGCGCGGTCTGTGTTAATCTCGTTCCTTCGTTCGAAAAATGGGTTGTCGAGGAAAATGTGCAAAAGCCCGGAATCCCCTTTTAACTGGGATGGCCCAGTTTTCTGGGCTCTGTTCTCCTCTCGTTCGACTCACCTCGACGCGCAGCTTGGCGTTCTGCGGCGTGCGGTCAGCCGCGTTCTGACTTTGGCACGTGAACGTCGTGTTGTCGTGGTCCTTCCGCGGCATCACCGTCAGGACGGATTTCACGGTGTAGAGGGGCCCGTCGTCGAACCATTCTTTCGTCGTCTTGATACCCTCGTGCAGCACGTTCCCTAAGCCGTCGATCCACGTGATCTGCAATCAAAAAGCACCGGTCACTCTGAAATTCAATTCCGTCGAAAGATTTTGTCTTCGCTGTCAGGGATTCTAACCCGACCCTTGACCCGAACCCAAACCTGGTTCGGACAAGCGAGTGACCTACGCTAACGTATATTGAACGCGCTAAAAAGATGTACAAGGTGTCCCAATAATGTCTCGCAATCCGAAAGTGGCGGGTTCCTCGGGCAACTTTTTCCTTAGCGAAAATGTTCTACGAGGCTTCGTCTACGAGTTATTAACGAAAAACAGTGACCAATAAGAGGCGAGCTCAGCCGGCGCGAGGCGACCGCGTCAATGAGCGGAACTGGACTTCGCGCGCTGGGTGGCTGGGCCGCCTCGCGTCAGCCGTACTCGATTCTTATTGGTCACTGTTTTTCGTTAATAACTCGTTAACGAGGCCTCGGAGAACATTTTTGTAAAGGAAGAAGTTTGTAGCGGCCAGTCGGCGCGCATAAGAGAAGATTTATTTCTCGCGCAAACGACTAACATATTTATGACTCTCCTTCGAAAAGGCTATCTTTGAGTAAACTGTTTTCCGTGCGGATGGCAATAAGCCAGTAGAGTTTCTTTTTTACCTGATTCTCGATAGTCTACGAGACCGTAATAAATAACGGGAAATTCCGAAGGGCACGCAAAACGGACCCGAACGCCGGACGTCCGAGCGCAACGGCCCTGAGGAAAACCCAGGCCGTTACATCATAAAAAACGCACCCACTCCGATCACCACGCGGTCCCAAAACGTGACGCGCTCAGGGCGTAAGGGACAACGCGGTGAGAAGGAGATGGACAACGCTGATTGGGAAAACCCATTCGCGGGTCAACCAATCAGGGGGTGTCCAGAGCCCTTGCCGGGGGCAAACAGGAAAATATAAAAAGAGCAGCAGTGAGACGCTCGCCCTCATACCTTCGATACTCCTCATACCTCTGATACCTATCTTACCTGCCTTACTTCTCGTACATCTCTTGCTACGACGTCACGTTACCCGGAAGTGTTTCTACGCAACTTAATAAATAAAGTTTAATAGTTACACCGCACGCACCAGTTATTTACCAGAACACCACAATAACCAAAAGTTGCTTCAAATGATCCGAGGAATCCGCCATTTCCGGATTGCGAGACATTTTTGGGACACCTTGTATTTTATAGTAAGTTTAAGACTGTAGAATATATTTCTACCAAAAGAAACGAGGCATTGTATAAAATGCGGTATAGAACAAAGCAAATAAGTGCGATCATTATACAATTATGAATAATTACATAGAATATATGAACCTTTGGTTAAAATATCAAATGACCTGAATGAAAAGTGAAGCAAACACGGCGCGATCAAATTGTTTGGTAGATAAATTCAACCGATTTGGCACGAAAGCATAATTACGAATAAAAAGTCCCTGCTTGTAGCATGAGTTATAGTTCCACTTCGTGGCTTGAGAACGCTTATAAAGGATCGATATTGATTGCGATCTCTGTTTTCGAGATTTCTAGGTTTGCGATTCTTATTGGTCAGGGCTTTTCGTTCATAACTCGTCAACAAAACCGCGGATTGCATTTTCGCTAAGGAAAAAAAATTTACTTAGAATGCAGCACTTATATCGACAAATTTTATAATAAAAATTCTGATTTGCATCTTATCGCAGTTAATTTGCAAAATCCGCAGTTATCTCAATTTTAAAATTGACCAGTCCACAAATTTCAGAACACTCGTCTTCGAAGAAAAAAAAAGACAGAAAAACAGCGCAACCGAAATTAGATTTCGCAGGATAAATTTCCGACGTATCACTGCAACCCTTCCGGGGGTGAATTCATAATTCGCCGAGGCTCCTCCGAGCAAAGGGTACTCCCGTTCCCGTCTTGGATGTCTATTAGCATGTAATTTCAAGGAGATTTCCAAGAAGAAATCTGTCAGACTTTGCGAGGAGCTTATCAGCCGGCACAAAGAGTGCATCAAGGGTCGAGGGAACTCGCTGGAAGCGGAAACGGGCTGCGCGTAGCGGAAGTTATTTCATTACAACCAGACGCCGTCATATTTTATTCAATAATTCGGCTACGATCGATCCCCGTGATCAGGTTCGGAGCGACTTTACGGGTAACGGATCCTGGCCAGCCAGAGTTTCCGGCGACCGCGGCCCGGGCTTCGACCCGCGAGCAGCAGCAGCAGCCCGCTCTCTGCGCTTTCAAATTTTCCCCCGGAATTAATTTGTTCGTCGCGTCCCCTGATTGAAAATTCGCCCTCGTTACGAGCTCTTGGACCCGGACGAGGGCAGAGCGTGACGTCTTTCGTACGAATCGCGGGCCCGCGGACTCGTTTCCGGTGACATCGATCGACGAGGCCGGACCGACCGTGAATCCTGTTGTTCGAATCATTCTCCGGCCAGTCTCGCTCGGATGCCCGTGTGATTGGGTAGGCTCGCATGGAAATCGATCCGATCGCCACTAATTAGAAATCTCGCGACACGAATCCGACGCGGTCTGGCGTTAATGCCGATGCTTCCGGTCAGAAACACCGATGCTCGCTCGCAGATGAATTAACAACTCGGCGGTCCCACAATTGGAAACTTAATGGCGATGCTTCTTCGCTATTGCGTTGCTATTTGGGTCGTCGTTTCCGACGTTGCGGCGACGAAATCGATAGATTTTCGAGAACACTGTTTCGACGATACAGTAATGTCTCTCCAACTGACGCTCAGATTGTCCACAAAAGTGGGAAGACGAGATACGATTATTCGAGCCTTGTAGCTCGTTTTTTTTACAGTATTGTTGACAATTTGTAACTATAAAAACGAATCGCAAAGCTCGAATAATCGTATCTCTGCCTCTTTCCATATTGTCCATTTTTGTGGAGAATTTGAGCGTCAATTGGAGAGTACTTCGCAATACAGTAATGTCTCTCTAATTGACGCTCAGATTGTCCACAAAAGTGAACAGTTTGGGAAGACGAGATACGATTATTCGAGCCTTGCAATTTGTTTTTATAGTTACGAATTGTATCTCTTCTTCCCAAATTGTCCATTTTTTTGGACAATCCGAGCGTCAGTAAGGGAGACATTACTGTATTTCGGTACACACGAATATAAGATGCATGCGAATTGCGATGATGCGCGAACTGACAAGATACATAGAAACGTTGCGATATAAAGGAAAAAAATTGAAGCGTGTGCTGTGGGTGAAAGATTGTTGATCCTCGTGCGGAATAAAAATTGTTCAAGTTCATCGTAAGAAACAGAAATCAAATCGACCGGTTCCTCATGTTATCGTTTAAAGGACTTTAAGTAGTACAGCAATGTCTCTCTAATTGACGCTCAGATTGTCCATAAAAATGGACAATTTGGGAAGAGATGATGCAATTTTTAAAGCTTTGCACCTCGTTTATTATAGTTACTGATCGTCGACAGCTATAAAAACGAGCCGCAAGGCTCGAACAATCGTATCTCCTCTTCCTAAATTGTCCATTTTTGTGGACAATCTGAGCGTCAGTAAGGGAGACATTACTGTAAATACTTTTTCGTAAGAAACGATTAACTAAATTTCTTAATTCGAGCATACGTTATAATAGAAACGACGGAAAATAAAGGACCATTTTATTAAAAACGTCTGATTTCAATAAATTTGAAGGACTGAATCCATATAATGTTATCAATATCTCATTTTTCAGCTGAAAGAAGATAGAAACGTGCGTGAACATTGCTAATAGATGTTGCAGAAACATAGAAGCGTTTTTCAGAAAGGGACAGAATTTTCTTCGCGCCCTAAAAATTATAGTTAGTGGACTTTTTTTGTAATGAACCCCCTGATCATGTGAACCAGCTTATCTCCCGATAGATTTATATAATTGGAGTTCTACTACTATGTCGAATAATGAATTAACGAATCGGGTAATGGAGCCGGTTACCGTGGGGTAAACAATCGCTGCGCCTTTGGTTTTTCTCGGGCATATTAATATCCGTAATTTATATTTATCGAATAAGATGCATTACATTTTTTCCACTGTTATTCCACTGTTTATTTCCGAATAAAAAGAATCGACACGTCTTGTTCGATAAATAGAAAGTAAATTATGACCGAAAACGAATCAAAGGCACAGCAATTGGTCACCCTAGAGTAATCGGCTCCACTACCCCTAAGTGTTCCATTGTTCGGGCGTATTAGAACTTTCTATCGAGCACTCCGAAGGACTCTCCGCGAACAGAGTCTCGTCCGCAAAGGTTTAAATCGCGAATGTATTAAGAGTTACACGGCTCGGTAATGAGGTTAGTGTAAGACAAGCCAGAGAGGACGGGCAACAAGAAAGGCCCAGGCTATCGACGCGCAGCGTACTATTCTTAGCAAGCATTAGCATATTACCGGAGAGAGAGAGAAAGAGAGAGAGAGAGAGAGAGATGCAATTTCGAATCGATTTTTCGCGCGTTCAATCACTGTCCCGTCTAATCACGGGAATTAAAACAAAGCGGGCAGCGGCGGGAACGAGAAGCGAGCAGCGAGCAGCGGAAGAAGTTGACCGGGAACGTTTCCAAAGTAAACTCGAAAAAATCGAAGCGTAGCCTGTTACGCGATCAGCAATCGAGCACTTGTTCCACTATTCGGATAATGAAAGTGTGCTCTCGGCAGAGAGCGGAGCGCCGAAAAAATCTCACTATTGCTGGCTCGATGAGCACCGGCCGCACACGTGTGCGCACGTATATTCTCCTCGCGGCTCCTCTATTATTCGTCTAGCCGATCCAAACCCGTGTATGAATGTGTAGAGAGAGAGAGAGAGAGAGAGAGAGAGAGAGAGAGAGAAAGAGAGAGAGAGAGAGAGAGAGAGAGAGAGAGAGAGTATACGCGGGGATGCGTGCGGTCGCGGCGCGTGTGTGCGCTCGCGCTCGTACAGAGGAGAACGAGCGAGTCGCTACTCCGGCGTGGTTGCACCGACGCGAATCGATCGTATCGTCTATAATTAGGCATGCTGCATCAGTGCTTCTGCACTCTCATATCACTG